TGCACCTCCTTAACACGTTAGAACCTTTTCAATCACCTCAACACGTCATCTGCACCTCCTTAACTATTTAGAACCTTTTCAATCACCTCAACACGGCCTCTGCACCTCCTTATCACCCTACCCAAACCTGCCGCTGCCTAAATGCCAGTTGATGGTTTTGTTGTAAACACAGTTTTGCAGCAGGAATGATGTTTTTGTCTTTTACAGTAAAACAACATGAATGTATAGTGAACACACACAAACACCTTCTGAGTCTAACCTGTGATGTATGCAGCCAGTATTTGAGGTTCTGTCGGCGACGGATGTGAGGCAGGACGAGTTGGTAGAAACCGTGTTCACATGCCAGAGTCAGCAACGCTCCGCCCACTCCAACGCACAACAACACGAAGAGTCCCGAAAAGTGACTGATCCCCATCTGAAGAGTCTGACAGAGAAGAAGACAGTAATTAAACAACGTCCCTACCAGGGAACTTGGAGAAAGAAACGCACTTCAAAAGGAGCTCCTACAACCCTGCAGTGCCAGATGGAGAAAAGATTGGAGACCTTTTGTCATAATTGTGACTTACTCATAATTGCGCTGGTATGCTTCCATACAGATGTGACTTGTTCTGTCTCAGTAACATGTGGTGTTTCTATCAAACAGGCTGGAGTTCAGTTCATTGTGTTTACAAAGGTATCGAAGGCACCGTACCACCTCTGATGTAAACAGATGTGATTTACACGAGTAACACGAAAGCTTGTAGAGATGAAAATAAACCTTCATATTGTTCCATCCATCCATTTTCCTCGGGTCGCGGTGGCAACAGGCCAAGCAGGCTGACCCAGACCTCCTTCTCACCGGCAACATGTTCCAGCTCATTCTGGGGGATCCCGAGGCATTCCCAGGCCAGCTGGGAGATGTAATCTCTCCAGCGTGTTCTGGGTCTTCCCCAGGGTCTCTTCCCAGTTGGACGTGCCCGGAAAACCTCCAGTGGGAGGCATCCAGGAGGCATCCTAATTAGATGCCCAAACCACCTCAGCTGACTCCTTTCGACGGGAAGGAGTAGCGGCTCGACTCCAAGCTCCCTCCTGATGACCGAGCTCCTTACCCTATCTCTAAGGCTGAGCCCGGCCACCCTACAGAGGAAGCTCATTTTGGCCGCTTGTAGCCGCGACCTTGTCCTTTCGGTCACGACCCAGAGTTCGTGACCATAGGTGAGGGTAGGAATGTAGACCGAGTGGTAAATTGAGAGCTTTGCCTTCCGGCTCAGCTCCCTCTTCACCAAGACGGTCCGGTGCAGCGCCTGCTTTACTGCTGCAGCCACACCGATCCGCCTGTCGATCTCCCGCTCCATCTTACCCTCACTCGTGAACAAGACCCCAAGATACTTAAACTCCTTCGCTTGAGGCAGGCACTCCGTCCCCACCTGGAGGGAGCAATCCACCGGTTTCCGGCAGAGAACCATGGCCTCAGATTTGGAGGTGCTAACTCTCATCCCCGCCCCTTCACACTTGGCTGCAAACCGCCCCAGTGAATGCTGGAGGTCACGATCCGAGGAGGCTAACAGGACCACATCATCTGCAAACAGCAGAGAGGCGATCCCGAGACCCCCGAACCTGCCGTTCTCCGCCCCGAGGCTGCGCCTAGATATCCTGTCCATGAAAGTCACAAACAGGACCAAGGGCAGGGTGTTGGCCTCCGCCAGGGCTGCCCTTCATATTGTTTATTTTGTTATATAAAACTTAAAGCCAACTCTTTGTAGGAAACCAGTCTAGAACTCTACAGCTCTATGAGCCTGTACTACATGCTAAGGCATGCTAACATAGGCATGCTAACACAAGCATGCTAACATGCACTCAAAGCTGACATGTTGATGTTTAGCAGGTATGATTTTACCATGTACACCATCTGACATTAGCATGTTAGCATTAGCTAATTAGCAGTGAACAAAGCGTACAGCTGATATTGGTATTGGACACATGTTGACCTGATGATGAAAAGTGAGGCTCAATAAAGTTATTGTAGTTAATCCTGAATGATTTTTTCATTTATTGGTTTATTTGATATGGGACAGAGCACATTAATAAAAACATTTCTGTAAATATGCCAGAGTTAAAGCCAAAAGGCTATTTTTCATCTGTAGTCCAAAGAGGCAGATGTTACAAAATCAACCTAAAAACAGAAGATAAGATTAAAGTTTAAAGGTTATACAATATTGACGCTTTACAATGCGTGCACAAA